TACACTCTTAAATGTCTTCATCCAGCTAAATCCACATATTGTAGCATTCGGATGTTAGACGGGAGAGCTTCCTGTTTCCTTTTTTATGCAAGAATAGCAATTGATAACCAGTCTCCCAGCAGACTCAAAGTGAAATAAGAGTCTGAAGCTAACCCTCTCAAATAACACATGTTCAGCCCCAGCTCAGACCTGTACTCTTAAATGCAGTAACTTATGAAAGTTCAGTAACTACAAAAACGTAAATGGCATATTTTAATTTTCCTTAATGACCTGCAGGAGGCCATTTTTTGAACACTTTACGTTAATAGCTTCCAAACAAGGAGATGGTTTAAAAGTTAGCTAATCAGTTAGCAAAACTTTAATTCCTTCCAGAACTTTGTCAGTGTTGAGGGTTGATGGCAGAAGGTAGAGTGAAAACCACCACACCTATAAACCAGTGATTTCCACTGGCTGAACACTGGACTTGTATTCTCCTTTTCAGATTATCTGATCCTCCTGGAAACACCTCACTTTATGAAATTACCTTTGCTCTCACACAGGTCAGTGTTAATGAAGATGCAATTGGAAAACATACCCAGAAAGAATAACTCACTCCATTTGCAGTCATTCCCCACGAACAGAATTAGTAACTACAGCTTAGGAAAGAGGGATGGCAAACTAGTTTGGGAAAAAAATCAATTTGCCATCAGATTAGGAATCAACTGTAAACATGTTGAAGAATTCTATTTTTTTTTCACTACTGCTCTGCCTTTTCTTCACAATCTGTTGTGGTGTCAGACTTATTTTGACAATACTTGTAGAACTTGTCATATTAACAAAGTTATCAAAGAGAGTGAGCACATGCATAGCAACAGCTGTAGTCCAGCAAGAGTCAAAATAACTGACCATAGGTATGCAGAAGGAAATATTCACGCTTTAGTTGCACAAATCCAAAATATCCCCAGAAGTCTCCAGAGTACTTGTAGTTCTATTTACATAGCATGAGCAGCTGCCCTTCAGCCTAGTACAGCCTCCTCCAAACTTTGGAATTTAGGATAAAAATAAAAGGAATAAATTTAGATTATTGTATGTATATATAAGGATTTATTTTTGCTATCATAGTGTCAACTGATTATTTTTGTTAGTTTCATAAAAAAAGGGTATACACTAAATTCAGTACAATGATGGAATTTATTTGATGTTATATAATGTACTCAGAAATTCTTGTTTAAAAACTAAACAAACCCTATAATCCACCAAGACTGTAAATTGGTGGGATAGGAACAGTCTTTTCATTATACGTGCCTACAGAGCTTACTACAGTTTGTCGCTAACATCTCTAGGTGTTAACACAATGCTATTAAATCTACTCAATAGCAAAAGATGCAGTCAGTGGATTTATGTGTCTCATTCCTTAGAAAATGTGTGAATCTAACAGAATAGTTTAATGGCTAGATTTTTCAGCCGCAATGTCTGATTTTGCACGTACATCAGATAGTATGCATCTATTTATGCAAATCGATGTTGGATTTATATGCACAAAATATACATGCCTGAGAACGCTTATTTGCAGAGTTGAGCTGCATTCAGAAAGGGAAAAGATCATATTTGGATGCCAGGTTCAGGCTGGATGGGAATAATAGGAGCCGTACCTAGCACTTGAAATCGCTGCTTTCCCTTTCCAGAGTACTGCGCAAACCCAAACTGACTGGAGTGTTGCTTTCCAGGCCTGCTTTGATCTGCCTGTATTTTTACAGCAGGAACCCTCTCGTTTAGTGGAGTTAGCTTTACTCCCTACTGATGTGAATGTGGACCAGGCCTGACACGCCTGTTTCCCTTGAGGTGAAGGACGGGGTCATTTAAACCACCGAGGAGCCGGTTCCTTTTCCTCCCTTTCCCCTTTTCCTGCCCAAAGCTGGACTGAGGCGAGGGCAGTGCCCGAAGGCAGGGGACCCGCTGTGAGGGGCTGCCCGAGGCTGAAATTTGCCACAGGCCTCTGCAGCGAAGCGGCTGCGTTTCCTCAGGGCAGGCCACTTTTCCTCAGATATTTGTGCTTTTTTCTCCCTGAGTACGCTTTTCTTCTCTTCGTGTATTAGCTTTCCTCACTGACACACCAGTTTCTCCTGTGGATGTGCTTCTCCCCCTGCACACAGCCTTCTCCTCACGGTGTAGGCTGGGCTTTCCTCACAGAATCCACTCATCTTTCCCCTGTGTGATCTGTCCTTACAGATATATGAGTTTTTCACCTGGATGCATTAGATTTTTCCCCACTGGTTGCCTTTCCCCTGAGTACTTTACTTTTTTTCCCCTGAAGACCCTACTTTTTCCTCAGCGGATACATTTTTTCCTGCTGTTACACTAGTTTATCCCTCACCGGACACAGCTTTCCCTCAGATATGCTGTTATTTTGCCTACATACTCTAGCTTTTCTGTCAGTTTTTTCCCTGAGCTTTCTTGCCGGCTGTCCCTATGTGCTTATAGAGCTCCACAAAGCATGGGCAAGTTCAGGACCAGAACCAGAACCGGAACCAGAACCAGGACCTGGACCAGGACCAGGACCAGAACCAGAACCAGAACCAGAACCAGAACCAGAACCAGAACCAGAACCAGAACCAGAACCAGAACCAGAACCAGAACCAGAACCAGAACCCCCACTACCACAGCCGCCTCCTCACCCCGCCAGGCGGCGGGGCGGTGCCTGCCGCTTTAAGGCGGCGCGTGCCCGCGGGGCCGGGGGGCGGGGCCTGGCGGCGGCGGCAGCGGCGGCGCGCAGCGAGCGCTTCACCTGCAGCCCGGAGCGGGCGCTCAGCGGCGGCGGCGGCGGCAGGAGCGGGGCGCGATCGCGCCGAGCCGAGCGGAGCCGAGCCGAGCCAAGCCGCTGTCCCCGGCACCGCGCGGCACGGGGCGGCCAGCCGCACCGCCACAGCCCGGCGGGCGGGCGCCGCCGGGGCGATGAGGACCGGCTCGCGGCTGCTGCTGGTGCTGCTCGTCTGGGGCTCGGCGGCGGTAAGTGGGGCGTCCCGGGGAGGTTTTGGGGTGACCGGCGCTCCCCTCGCCTCCCCCCCGGGCTGCCGCCCCCCGCCCTCAGCATCCGCAGCAACTTCGGGCTCGGGGTCGTCGGGAGGGGAGCGGCGTCTCGGCAGCTTGCCCGGGCTCTCCCTTCCCTTTTACCCATGCGTTCATTTATTTAATTTTTTATATATATATATATTCTTTGTAGTGATTATTTTCAGCGCCATCGCTCGCCCGAAGCCCGTTACCTCCGCGGTGCCGGCGAAACTTGCCCTCCGCGCTGCGCGGCGCCGCCTGAACTTGCGGGGAGCGAGCATCCGCGCTGCCCGCCCCGCGCCGCCGCCAACTTTTATTTTCCTGCGCCCCTCGACGCCCCCAGGGGGCCTGAAGCGTGTGACGGGCTGAAAAGTTTGTTGGTTATTCTTTATTTTTATTTTTTCCGTGTTTTTTTTTTTTATTATTATTATTTATTTTTTTATTCCCTCCCCCTGGTGAGGGGCTGGCTGCGGAGCATCACCGGGCGCCTGCCCGCGGTGTCACGGTGCGAGCGGGGCCGCTGCTCCGCGCCGTGCATGGGCTGGCAGCAGGGACAGGAGCCGCTTATTTTCCTGCTTAAATCCCCCAGCGCCGAGTTGGGTCGGCGATGTCCCGAGCCTGAGCCCCGGGGGGGTGCTGGGTGCGCAGGAGCGGCCCCGATGCGCTCCCGGCTAGCGAGCGCGATTACGGCAACGGGCTGATCTCCGATCCGGAGCTTGTTATCTTCAGCCAGCCCCTTTGAAATGTTTCCTAATTGCAACGTCTTGCCAGCGACGGTCAGAGTCCCCAGAGCCGCTGCTTTCTTGCACTTCCCATGCAGTAGCTGGCATCCGTCTCCCGGGCGTGATTTTTTAGCAGAGTCCGTTGGCTTGCGTTCTGCTTACTAAGCTCGTCCGAAAGGACCCTCCGCTTCTCCTCCCTCCTGGCTCCGTAACGCTGCGATGTGTGTGCCCGGGAGTGTGTCGGCAGCCTGGGGGATGCCGGTGGGCTCCCGGAGTTGCACTTTCTGTGGGAAGTGGCTCTCCTGGACCTCGGGCTTCATCCTGCCCTGCTGGGACCGGAGGAGTCTGGAGCGCAGCCGGCATCGCAAAGCGACGCTTTGGCTAGCCCAGCTGACAGCCCAGCACCGCTAGAAATCCCTCGCCACCAGCACTTGCTTGCGCATAAATCACCTGGTGTGGATCACAGGCTGGTGTGCTTCTAGGGAGCTGGAAGAGTGAGGTCTGGACCCTCCTTGCTTGGGGTTGGTGTCCCCATCCCGAGGAGCCCGGACGGCTGCGGCCAGGCAAGCTTGTCCCTGTGGCAGGGGCTGTCCCTGGCTGCGTGGTACGAAGTCAAAACGGAGCAGCTGAGTGCTGCCCCTGGACCCCCGCAGGATGTGCAAGGGGCTGCGCTAATTGCTAGGTTTTAATTGGGCTCCCCTCCATCCCTCCCTGCAGCCTGGGCAAGTGTAGAGCCTGGGGGGTCACAGGGCAGCAGCCGGCAGAAGCTCAGGGGCCGCTGCAGGGGAAGAGAGGGGGCTTTAAGAGGCTGTGAGCTGCAGAGACTGCTGTGAGCTGGGGGTGCTTCTCCTCCTCCAGGCCGGGGCCTTGCCCAGTTTCTCAATAGCAAAACTCGGGTGATTTGGGTGTTGCAACATAAGGCCTTTGCGTGGCTCCAGTGTAAGCGCTGCTCGCGTTGATGAATTGCTGCTCTTTGTTTCCTCCCCTCTTCTGACAGTGCCCAGTATCCCAGCCTTCCTACAAACAATGATTTCTATTGTACTCAGGCAACTATTTTCTGGCCCATTTTATTTTTGCAGCTACAGTATGGATCCTGTCCAACAGATAGGCACTTTAACATAAATGTTTTCTACTTGCACGCTGCTTTACTGTTCACATTTGCCCGTGCCTAAACACATAGTCATTGGGCACAAGGCGTTGTACCAAACCACAAAAGTCATGGTGTGTGCTTTTCTTGCTTTGATTTTGCAGGCACGCGATGGGGATCTTACAGTTAGACCCACATGCAAGCCTGGCTTTTCAGAAGAAGACTACACAGCATTCGTCTCCCAAAGTATCATGGAAGGGCAGAAGCTACTGAAAGGTAAGTGGAATAAAATGCTTAATGGGTGCTGCAATAAATGTGTTTTGGGGAGCTGAAAGGAGACTTAAAGATGCTGGGTTTGATGGTGAAATTGTCTGCAGAATTATGTTTGTAGGAGGATGAAACACTAAGTGGTTTACCTGAGCACAGTTTTGAATACAGATGAATCATTCGAAGTCCATGTGCTGTCTGCTTCAGGTGGATGCTTGCCTATAGTATGCGAGGTCATCACTTCACTTTTAAGTCTCGCACTCCCACCCTGTCTGAAGGGACTCTACATTTGATATTTTAGAAAGTATTTTTATGTATGAAATTCAGAGATCCTTAAATTATCTCTGCTTTGAAATGCATGATAAAGCAGACGTTGTTGTTGGAAATGTGGTAAACAAGCCTACAGACATTCTGTTCACAAATGTGGCATTCATTTTCATTACTGCCCCACTGACAACATGAAAACACAGGCAAAAAGAAACTACCAATTAGCTTTATAGTAATTGCAGGATTATAACCACTTTTGTGATTGTAAACTCTGAGACGTCTTCGTAATCTAAATAACAATAGATTATCCGGTGTATTGATCTGTCTCTCTTTCAAGTTAAAAATAATTAAACTTTGTATTTGCATGATGCAGAAAATCATGGTTTTACTCTGAAGCAAGTGTTTGAAGAGCAAAATCCCCCCCCCTCCTTGGCCCCCTTTAAGTTAAATCACTAACCACTAGTGGATGCTACAGCAGTTCTGAAAACATAGTACACTGCAGGAATTGAGGAGCACAACAGGTTTTGGTACTCTACACAAGGGGTTATAAACCCTTTGCTACTTTCTCCTGAGAATATTTACTCACATGCATATTCCTCTGCCAGAAAGCTGGGATTTCTGTCTTCCTCCAGAGCAAACACCTGCTCTGTTACTTTGATTTTCTAGGGAGAGGGGGAGTTGTATTCTTTCTGGCTTCAGCGGAATCCAGGACTGGATGCTTTTTCTCTACATGAGTTGGCAATCAGTTATGTTTCTAAGCTTGATTGTCTTTGTTTTGCTGTTTAGGAATTCTCTTGACTGGCCTGGCATCAGTTAGGAGATGTTTGGGAGTTTATTTTTAGTTGGAAAGCTAGGGACTGGACATAGACAAACCTAAGAATATAACAAAATAGTAAAATATTAGAGACCTAGTACCAATTGTTTACATATTTAGTAGCAATTTTTCCCAAACTTATAAATAGTATGGCCTTCCAGGTCAGTTTGTAAACTGAGTATATTTCACACATTTTAGCTTTGAAAATCATTTGATATACAGAGTACTTCAAAGACTAGGAAATCATGTCATTAATACGTGCCTGAAGAAGTATTTTTTTTGCGGTTTAGCACTCAATATATTGTGCTGCATGTTTATGTAGCTGGGCAATAGGTATGGAGCAGAAGGTCTGTTTAGAGGAGTTAGCTAGCAATGACAGCATAGTGGCTGTCATTTCATTTCAGCTGCAACTGATTATCTTTAAATATGAAATTATGTTTAGATAGGCTGTCAAGTTGATTTGAATGAAAGTATATATTTAATGAATGCTAATTTTATCCTTGGGGTCCAGTTGTAGTTTTATATTAGTCATGGCAAAACTGCCATTCATTTAGGGCTGAACTGGCCCTCCAAATATTATGTATGCATGCGCCACTTGGAGGACTCATGTCCTGATAACATTCTCACTAGTTACATGATTTATAAGAATTTTGTCAACTGAAGGAGAAAGAAAAAAGTGCAAATGCTGTGTTTGCTAATAAGTAAGCTATCATCTTTACACCTTCTAATCAGCAGTCAAATACATGCTGCTATTTATCATAGGAAACAAATATATCTAATTAACTTGTACAATAATGGGGGAGAAAATCTGCTGCATAAAAATTCTTCGTGCTTGTGTTGTTCTTTATATATACTCTAGCATGTAAAATTGGTAGTTTTCCAGTTTAGGTTTAATTTTACTTCCTAACACTTGATATGTCTGAAGCATAAAATGTTTATCTCTTTCTTCCATCTGGGTGAAGTATTGTACAATAGATCAGACCAAAAATGGGTTCAGATTGCTTACATTAACATGTTTGATAGATTGACATATGTACTGTTTCACACCATCTTACCACGCAAAGCTCTGCTGCCAGCTACCACCATCTTATTCATCAGCATTCAGTAATTCATCTTCAGGCCAAATGGGACTGTTTGCCTGAAGGAAAAAAAAGTAGGTAGGGATTCACCTGTCAATGATTTTATGGGTTTGGGGAAAAAGTGTGTGCATAGTTCAAATTGTTTTCAGGGGATTCCAGCAAACACAAAATCTGTATTCTGCGTAAGCCTCACTTTGTCCTTCGGAAAGAGGTATGAGGAGTCCTGGGACAGTTTATACTGCCTAAGGATTTGTTCATCAGAAATTATGTAGGATGTAGCCCTCAGCACAGCGATCAACCTCAGCCAGCGTCAAGAAGTTTAGATGCTACATGGCTCGGGGATAAACTGTGTGGCAATAAAGCAAGCATTTCCCTTTTAAGCTTTATAATATCCAGCTCTTAAATGTATGCAGTGTTATGAATGTATCAAAATAAAAGTGTGTAAAGTATTCTAGGTTTGAATCAAGTTTAAACAGATAATGGCTGCTTATAATTGACTTATTCCAATGGAAATAGCTTAGCCTTAATTTGACAACAAGAGCTTTTACAGAGTCATTGTTTTATTATAAGTATGCCATAAGCTATTAACTACTACTTTGTGGTTCATCTTATTTGCCTGAGTCAGCTCTCTAACATCCTCAAAACATACAGATTCTAGCAGGAGCTATTTGTTACACAGTAATTAACTTGTTTATGATAAATGGATGGAAGAAATGTCATGGCATTTTGTTTTATGTATAAATGAAAAGCATTTGCATTCTAAAAATTTCATGTTAATTAGACTTAAAATAGTTTTCCCCAATAGGGCCACAAATGCCACATACTACACATCACTGCCAAACATTGTAGCCTGATGATGGGATATTAGCTAAGACAATTTGTGAAGTCTGTACCTTCCTCTGAAATGCCATCTCCTAATAAAAGTTAGTGGGATATAATCAGTTGATTTTTGTCATTGTTTTTGTTTGAAGAATAATAAACTTGGAGTAATCACTGATGCATGATAATGTTTAAAAGGTTGGTTGATTATTTTCTTCCTTAGCCTTAGGAAAAATCTCAAAGCTGCTGTATGACAGAGGACAATTACAGTGTGGGTATCTTTTTCTCTTTGTTAATTATTAATGTTAACTTAAAGTGGTGAGAACATTGGTCCCGGGGGGAAGGGGAGGAGCAAAGACATGCAGTACTGCACTGAAGACAGTTCAGGACTGACTCAGGGGATCTGATCCCTGAGTTGATGCTCAGGTGAGTGGGAACGGTGACCAGGTGGCCTCACAGGGAAAGAAAAAATTAGAAGTAGGATTCTGGAACTGGTATGCAGCATGATCTAAGGGGAATGATACTGTTGGTACAGGATTAATGCCATTTTCGAAGATTTTTAAATATTATAATTCAAAAAATAACATTTTCAAAACTAGAATTTCAAAATTTCTTGACATTGGTGAGACCAGGGCAACTAACAGTGGGTGTAATGACATCACACAGTTAACTGCATTATTTTTACAGCCTAGTACCGTCACAGTTATCCCCGGTCACCTTCCAGAAATACAGCTAAACAACATTACTAGCATGCATGTCATAGCTTTCCCTACAGCCAAGAAGACAACGTAAGCAGTTGAGACATACGGCCCATTTTTTGTTTTTTCTTTGCATCTCTTCATCTGCAGTGATTCATGTTTCTGTTGCCCATCCTAAATAGTGCCTATACAGAACAACTTTGCTTGTGTAGGCAGCTACGTTTGGGTAAAAGCGTGTGGAAGCACAGTTTATTTTCATACAGGAAGATGAATAAACTGTGCCAGCATGTGCTGCTTTAAGCGAGTGTGTGAAACCAAAGGTAGCCAAACTTCAGGCAAATGTATAAAAACATAATTGTTTCGACACAAGGGTTTTCAGTGACATACCACTTGGTTAAAAACAAATAAATATATACATTTTACTGAAATACGTGTGTTTTTTCATATGAATTCAGCATGGAAGCCTTTTATTTTCCCCACAGAGGCTTCAAAACCTCCACTTTGTTCAACCCTTATCACCTCCAGCCGTAAAACTTAAGAAGGCTGTGAATGCTGTTTAGGAAGTATAGAACAGCTAGACCCAACACCCCAGTCTTCATTTGATGGTCTAAAAGCAAACCTTCAATTAAAAGAAGGGGTGTGTGGGGAATAGTGGTGGAACCTGAACAAACCTTTGCAAGCTGTGTTTGAGGCTGGTTGCTAGTGATTCATTTAGCAGTAGCTGCAGGGATATGTGCTGTACCTCCTTCTGGAGGTAAATGTGCTGCATTGTTGTGGCGAAGATGATACTGGAAACAGTGTGTCCTGTGGAGTACATGAGTGAAACAGACCAACAGATCTACTTGAAGATAATCACACAGCCACAAAATACTACTGCATACGTGAAGTCTGGGCCCTGAGAAAGAGTAATACGGGTAGGTTGGTATCTTAGGAGGAATGCTGATAAGTCAGCAAAATGCCCTGAAGGAAGGAGCATGCCCCTGTAGTAACAAATGCAAACCTAGCAAGTGCCCAAAGATTCACTGGGGGTATCGACAGGGAGCATGCAGCTGCAGCACTGCATGGCTCCGACACGTGAATTGGCTAATGAGGATGTTTGCCCTTTTTTATATGCGTGGTTTCCCACTTCTTGGATGTAGAATCCAAAAAATAGAGAGGTACCTGACTGTGGTTAACTGCGGTAGGAGCTTGGCTCCTAAAGGCCTTTGGAGCATGGCTGGGAGGATGCCCCATGCTGGTGACCACGGTGCCCCGCTGGTAAGCAGGTGCTCTGTTATGCCTCCGTTTTCAGAGTGCCTTTTGGTGTTGCGTGGACATTTTTAGGGAGCACGG